CGGCTCAGCCACAAGCTAAGCTGATGGCTGCCAGTACAACAGTGGTGTGGGGGGAGCCTCTCCTGCCTCCTAAGCAGCACTAAGGATGTCTGACTGCAGCTTAGGTCTGCTCTCCACTGGCAAGTGGACATCCCCTGACAGCTGCTGGGCTGCCAGAGGGATGTCTGATTGCCAGCTTAAGCCCAATCCCCTGGGGAGCGGGCCTAAGCCAGCAAGTGGTTATCCCCCTAGGGGTCCCAGACTACGAGAGGGCACAGGCCAGGCTGAGGGACACCCCCTTCCCCCCCGAGTGCACAAATTTTTGTGCACCAGGCCTCTAGTCTATCTAATAATAAGATAATATGCAAATTGGTCGGAGAACGACACTTAATGACCAATCAGCAGGCTGCGTCCCTGCCCTCTGTGCCGGCCTGGAGACATGAGGCTCGCATCCCCGACCCCGGCAACAGGCCCAGGATGTGAGGCTCGCGTCCTTTCCCATGTGCCGGCCCGGAGACATCAGGCTTGCGTTCCTGACCCTGGCAACAGACCTTGGGACGTGAGGCTCACGTCTGTGCCCCCTGCACCGGCCCGGGGTCCACAGGCACGCGGAGGTCCTCAGGCCTCCACCATGCCCATCCCGAGGGCGGGGCCACGGCGGGGCCTCTGTGCGCCTGCGCCAGGTGTCGGCAGGCCTCCGCTGGCTTTGGCCTACCTCTTTGGGGCAATCCATTGAGGAGCCCCGGATGGGTGGACAGGGCCTACCTCTTTGGGGCGATAGATCATGGGGCTCCCACACTGCACTGGGCCACTGGTGTCTAAATAAAGTCACATACTTTGGAGGAACGAGTTTTACTCAAAGCAATAGCTCCATCAGAAAGTTACAATTGAAATGGTTGAAATGAGCACATTATAAATAATGTTTAATTATATGAGATTTTTTAAACTTTGCTTCTCATCTTTAACATTTATCCCACTTGTGTGTATGCACTGTATATAGAATGTAACATAATGATTTGCCCTTCCTAATTGATTGTTTTGTCATCTTTTTCTTTTTTTCTTTTGCTCTACTTGGGTTCATTCTGAAATGTGACACTTCATTTGACCCTTTGTGCTCTATGTCAGCGTCTTCAACTGTATGGATACCATTCACCTACTGATAGTGTATGTACAATACTTTAAATATTCTTTATGTGAATATCCCTCCCTTGTTATACTTGATAATGTTATATTGTTATCTAAAACTATATCTGCTACTGAAATGTTTAGGAATTTATTGAATATGATAAGATGCAACCAAGCCAAAAATTTTTTTTTATTTCCTTCCTATATTTATGAGAAGACTAAAATTTACAGAGTAATTGTATAACTTTAACTTTAGATTGAAATAAAGATGAGTGAACAACAACCAGCAACTCTGGTAAACAATTGAAATTTTAAAATTTTCAGCAGTTTTTGAAGAGTTAAATACAAATTATGGAGCAGATTTTCAGACTATGCTCCTGCAAACCCAGGCATTTTAAGAATTAGGTCTACGTATCTGACATACATTATTTTCTCAATTCTAATACAGAGGTATGTTAATGGATAGACTTTTCTTAGTTTTCAGTATTTCTCCCAATTTTTTTTTCTAAAACCTTTGATACCTGCGTATCACCTATGTTCTATACAAAAGTCTGGTATAAGATGACATTAGATATGTTTAATCTATCAATGTATCATGTTATTTCTCAAAGAGGATTATGATTTTCAGACTCTTCTTTTCCTGATGAAGTTAGGAGTTCTGTAAACGATCTTCCAATATACTCTTCTTATGCTAAGCTTTCTTCTTTGCATTCTCCTGGGAAGTTGAGCTTGTTGGTTAGCCCAGCTACTAAACAACTAAGAGTAGGCCATGCCCCTTTTAAATGTAAACATGCAGGATTCATTTAATTTCCCCAAGGTTAGAAGGATCCCTCAGATTACATAAGTTCCATCTGAGAGTAGGCCTTTGACTTCAGGGTGATGAACTCAGTATAATGCAGGTCAGAGAGTTCAGTTATAGTGTGCAACTCTAAGCGGCTGTGCTGCCTCCTGTGTTGGACAATCAAAAGTTCAAGGCACAAAACCTGACTCTGTTCTAGATTTGAACATATGCTGGCGGCCGATTTGGCATAACATAAACCCCAGATACCTTGCCAAAGTCGCAAGGAGTGGACCTAGAATGGGTTGGCAAACAAGCCACGTCCATGGGACCCTTAGGACGGACTAGTTATTTTGATTCTTTACAAGATACTTAATTTTTTTCTACAAAATTCATGACTGTTTGTCTTTAAATATGGTCTATCATTTTCTTAAAATTTTGAAAAGATTCCTCTATTAATCATTTCAGAAATTGGTAAGAATATGAAAGATAAATATCTTATAGTTTATAATACCGTATGTCTTGTGAAACTTAATAAATGTTAATACTTATGTCTTTATTACTTATTTTTCTAATCTAATATGTCATTGCGTGAGCCATTTTCCAACTATGACAATTTATAGTTTTCCTTTAAATTCATAATAATTTTTTTAAAAAAATGCAAGCAAACAAGAAAAATTTATTTAAAATTAGAAAAAATTCAGATAGCCTAAAAGTTTATATGAAATATGATTGTGTATGTATTGCACAAATATATTATTATAATATTATGAATTAACTGGTAATTATCTGCTAGTTTCCAGAGCTGTAGATGAACTGGAATGATCAAGTAGATAATTTGAGTACAGTTCATGGAGCTGAATATAACCTAAGATTCTACCCTTAGGAAGAAGTTCCTCAGTAAAGGCAGAAGCCCTCCTGACTTGACTATAGAGACAGAGATTCTGTGTCCTCTGTTGGACCCAGTCCCAAAACTTAGTTGCTCCTGCAGTAGGTTCTACCTGTATTCTGTCAAGTTACTGTTTATTTCATTTCTTGCTTCAGTATTTAGGAGGATCATTACCTATACCTTTCTGTTCCAAACAACCCTGATTCTTTTCATATTTCTGATATAGCCAACTCCTGATTATCTTATCACTGTAATGAAAAGATATATTAAAAATTCAAAAAATAAATAATGCAAAAGTGAAGTATATTTGATTTTGGTATGCCTTATGTGACCTTTTAAAGTACTTAAACATTATCTTAATTACCCTATATCCATTGTAGTAAAAAAATGTACTAGCTTTTATACAATTTTTTGACACATGTTGAGATGTGTTTTATGGACTAAAACAATGTTAATATTTACAAATGATCTGTGTTTGAAAAAAATGTGTATGTTCTAATTTGGGTTATAGGGTTATATTTTTAAGATAGATAATATATCAAAACATATTAGAACAAACTTATTAATTAAATGTTTTAAATCTGTTATTTCTAATGTTTTTGTCTGCTTAATCTTTCAGATAGTATGTTAAATTATATGTTACAATGATAGACTTGTCAATTTCTACTTATAATTATGCTATTTTTTATTTTATATACTTTTGAAACATTGTTATTGCCTATTTAAGAATATAAATTACTTATATCTTTTTAATGAATTGACTCTTCTATAATATACTAGCCCTAGATATCTAGAAATGTTTTTTCTTAAAATATATTTTATTGTTAAAATATACCACCTTTATTTTTATTAATATTTTGTTATTTTTGTATTTTGTGTTTTTTATTTTCCATTTTTTCCCTCTAATGATGATGAAGCTTTTCCTGATTTTTAAAATATATTTTTAGTTAAGAAATTTACTGTAAATAAAATAAATAATAATAAAAGTTCGACCACAATATAGCTAAAAAATAAACTTGCCACGTCCCCAAAAGCTCCTTATATTGTCTCTCTAATGATAATTCTTTCCTCTTCTCCAAAAGATATCTACAGAAATGACTTTTATGTAAACCACTTCTTTGGCTTTGCAGTTTTACCACCTACTTATGTATGCATCATAAATCATATAATTTAGTTTTACCCATTTTAGAAATCATATAAATGGGATCATATTATATGAGGTTTTCATGTTTCTTCTTTGACTCAACATCATGATTGTCCATTTCATTTTCATTGTTGTATCTAGGTCTAGTTCATTCACTGTTATTGCTGTAAGCAGCAGTTTTCAAACATTTTGGTCTCAGAACCCCTTTACATTGTTGAAAATTATTGAGGACCCAAAAGAGCTTTTGTTTGTATTGGTTATATCTATCTATATTTACTAGTATTTACCATATTAGAAGTTACAACTGAGAAATTTAAAAATATTTATTATCCTTTTAAAATAAAAACTCACATGTTAACGAACATTTTAATGAAAAATAACTCCAAAAACGTAGTGAGGATAGTGCCATTTTACATTCTTTGCAAATCTATTTAATATCTGGCTTCATAGAAGACAGCTGGTTTCTCATAGATGCTTCTGCAAGTCAAGCTGTTGCAGTATGTTATTTTGGCAGCAAATACTCTCATCTCAATTGCTTCCCCTGGAGTGACCCGCTCACTTGGTTCACTTAAAAAAAAAATGTCTGCCAGATACCAAAGTCTAAACAACCATAGTCTCAGTTATTCTTTCAAGTAAAAATGATTGTTCATGAAAAAAAGTGGCTACTTTTCTTTGCAACACAAACCGTCACACACATGTTTTTTTTCTGAAGACAATCATATGACTTTCGTAGGCAGGAGACGTGCTTTATGCATGCTTCCAGGCTCCCCACACCAAATACTGAAAAGATGTGTGCTCAAAGGTCAGTTTAACAAAATTGTAAGTTTATTCTTCAGCAAGTACATTCTTTTTTTCTTTCTTTTGAAATTAAAACTTTTTAATTTAAATTCTTTATTGTTTAAAGTATTACATAAGTCTCCTTTTTCCCCCCCATTGACCTCACCCCAGCCACTCCTGCCCACCCAGCTTATGCCCTCCTCCCCCCCTCCCCCACTCTCAGTGTCCATTGGTTAGGCTTATATACATGCATACAAGTTCTTTGGTTGATCTCTCCCCCTTATTCCCACCCTCCCCTACCTTCCCTCTGAGGTTTGAGCATCTGATTGATGCTTCTCTGTCTCTGGATCTGTTTTTGTTCATTAGTTTTGTTCATTAGTTTCTCTGACTGACTAATTTCGCTTAGCATAATGCTCTCCAGCTCCATCCATGCTGTTGGAAATGGTAGGAGTTCCTTCCTTTTTAACCACCTTCACCTACTGCCCATTCCTTCCCCACCTCAGGCAACCACTCATCTGTTATGTTTCTATGATTTCGGGGTGGTTTTTTTCTGATTTTTAATTGAGGTATGATTGACATATAACATATTGGTTTCAGGTATACAATATAATGATTCAATATATGTATATATTCCCTTATTTTGAACGATAATTTTACTAGGTATATTGTTATAGGTTGACACTTATTCTCAGCAAATTATGATATCATTCCAGTCTTCTGGCTTCTATTATTGACATTGAAAAGTCAGTTCTAAGTCTAATTATTATTCTTTTGTAGATAGTCTGTTTTCTTTCTTGCTACTTTTAAGATTTTTTTTTTTGCCTTTGGTGTTCTACAATTCTATAACATCCTTTTTACTATTACCTGTTATAAAATTTATTGAACCTCTCAAATATGAAGATTGTTTACTTTTATTCTTTAATATTCACTGAACTATCTGTCTTTTACCTCTTTTAATAAAGGTGTAGACCTACCTTACACTCTAGTAAGGAGGCCTAAAGCTCACAAAGCCATCAAAGACACTAAGACTGAAGAAATTCTTTGCCAGTTTTTCTACTATTTGCATATCAAAACATAATACCTGTTTTATAATCACAGCACACAGTTATATTTGGGCATATTCCCCTATCAGTCTTTCCTTAGCTTGCATGTGTTTGTTCTGATTTTGTGTTTGCTTTGCATTTCTTGCTATTAAAATCTATTATAATTTTTATGGCTACCTTAAATTTATTTTAAATATTCTATTATATTTTTCTGGTATTAAAAATTTCTACTAGTTTTGCAAGTTCTGAAAATTTACTCTTAATTACATCATCCAAGCCATTAATTAAATAATAAAATATTGGCTCCTGAACAGACACACATATAGGAATCTATGACTGTGCCAGGAAAACCACTGATATATTAGCCATATTTCCCTGCAATTGCATGCCATATATTTATTTAACACAAGGCATGACAGTAGTTGCTGTGAGAACATTGTCCCTTCCCTCAGAAACTTTATAATTTAAAAGATTCTTTAATGCAGCCATTCCGTTGTATATTCTAGCAAAATTTAACCTGAAGCTAAATAAAAAGTGGGGAAGCTTTCTGCAGGAGGTGACTATTAAGCTGTCATGTTCTAAATAAGATTTTTATTTTGTTTTAAAAAGTGATATATATTATCTTCGCTCTAACCAGTTTGACTCAGTGGATAGAGCTTTGGCCTGTGAACTGAAGGGTCCCAGGTTCGAGTCCGGTCAAGGGCATGCACCTTGGCTGTGGGCACATCCCCAGTGGGGGCGAGGGCGGGGTGCAGGAGGCAGCTAATGGATGTTTCTCTCTCATGGATGTTTCTAACTCTCTATCCCTCTCCTTTCCTCTCTAAAAAATCAATAAAATGTATTTTTTAAAAAGTAATATATTATCCTGATAGATAAATACACATTTTTATTTTAAAATATAGCAACGCGAAAAGGAGAAAATAAAAAATATTCTAATGCCACCATTCAGAGGTAATCAGTATATTGGAGTATACTTACCTCTTTTCTATGCACAGGAAATATGTTTTTTTCGATAGAGATCCATGTCAGTAAAGTTTATAAAATTGATTTCATCGCTTAACAGGTTGTAAATATTTTTCTAATGTCATCAGTGTGTGTGTGTGTGTGTGTGTGTGTGTGTGTGTGTGTGTGATGTTGACAAGTGTTTGGAAGTAGGGAAGAGGCTTCACAAAGCAAGTCATTCCTGTAACCCTCCTAAGAATAATATAGTAAGTCTTATTTTCTAGCTTGATAGATTTAATCATCCTTTCCTTTATCATATATTAACCTTCTAAGTTACAATTTAAAAGTATATCCATGTTCAAAATGTTTAGATAATATTTGCACACTATTTAATCTGGCTACCATTTATTGAGGTTCTACCATACCTATATAAAAGAAAGTGAACTGTGTTAGTTCTATATTCAGCTCATTTTACTTATTTAGCTTATAATTTTAGTTAAAGCTTGTTTAGTTACTAACGGGGGTGATGAGCAAAATGTCATATGGCTAAACTTACACTTATGGTAATAAATATGTCCATGTTATATACGTGAC